AGTATCGACTTACTTCTTAGGTCGCCAGCCTTCCACGCCACGGCTTTTAGTGCGTCGTGATAGATTTAAGCGCGTCGGAGTGCTTCTTGTGAGGAATGTGCTTGTGTAGTAGGAGAATGGATTCCACAGCGTGGAACCCACCCCGCCTCCATGTCTGCTCTCAGAGTCTTTCAGCCCACGATCAGGACATACATAGATGCATGCGAATTCCACGTGAATCAATATTCTTGGGGTCAGCGCGTAGGACTTTGTTATGTGGCGGGAGGAATGGCTCAAATGCTTGATGAGCAACTGATCCGGGTTCAGGTTTTGGAGTTCTGATTGTCGGAAGTTAAGAGTATCATTGACTGATGACAACCAACGAATCAGAAACGACCGTATTAGTCTTCCTGTTTTCAATAATAACATTTCTGAACTGTTCTTTGTACCGATTGCCAGCATGTAAAAAGGAAAGCTCTTGGACTTCGTTGCGCACGGATGGATAAAGGCACCACTCTTACATAGGAGCTTCCTGAAAGCCATGCATTTTTCTCCAGCATTTAACTTACAATTTAAAATATTTAAGCTTGCCTCCGATCAATCTCTTTCTGAAGTTTGAAAATACTAAGATGCTGTCCTTGAGAAACTCCTAAGTGCGGGTCCCATTGAGTTCATTGGCAAACCAGACCAAAAGTTAGCGTAAGGATTGCAGTTCCATCAGATGCGGCACCAGCACCATAAGATGCTAATTTTGCCATCGTAATTGTTATGCCGCCTATCAGCATAAATAAGGCCTAGTGCCGATTTCAGGTCACGTCAGGTGTCAATTCCATTGCGATCCTCCAACATGCTGTTCTGAATAAGTCCAGTTTCTTACCTGGGTCACAGAAGTTGGACACCTGAAATAGTCTATGTGAGATGTTTGCTCTAGGCTACTTTAGATGGGCTCCAGTAGATAAGGATTTGCCAAGTAATATTTAAGGCAAAAACCGCAATGAAACAACATTGGAAATATAAAGCGGAATTTATGAAGAAAAGACTTACTTGCATTCTCCGGGCGATCTGCAACTCCCGTGTATACTGTGACAACCCTTCCGGCAGATAGCTGTAAAGCGTAAAATGCTTGATTCACTCAAAGCTTAGCCCCACTGACTTGCTCAAAAATGAAAGACATAGAGTATCCATTTTTAACGTTCACATGACTGCGTGAAACCGTTCTAAGAAATTGCCAGTTATACAGTGTGTACAGAAGCATACCTCGATTATCAAACGGATTACTTCGAGCATCTGATGCTGTTTACGCAGAAGTTTGCCAGTTAACTTTACAATGTTCGACTTTAAAGGTTGAATAAAAGCTACTTTTTTGACCAATAATTATTTATGACCATCTCCTGTTTTTTCCTAACCCATTACAACTTGAATCTAAAAAGGACAGGGTTGCTTGATAGATAGCATGAGAACGTTAGGCGATAAGTGGACATCAATGCAATATTTTGTAGGTGCACTCTGCTACATATATTCGTTAGTTCAAATGCCTTAATATGGCTATCTTAACATCTTATTTTTCTCGGGCATTGTCTACTATGAATCAGCACTAGGCTTAGTTTGGTTCCTACCTACTCACCATTTTCTGCCGTCCAACTTTGGAAATATGAATACTCGTAGCATTAGGCCCTTGAAAATGACAGAATATACCTTCGCCGAACCAATCCGCATACAGAGGTGGGAGGCTTAGACATAATTTTGATATGTCCGTTAACCTCGGTCCAGAGGTTTCAAAGGTGTCATCAAAGCTGTCGATGTAAAACACAAGCGGTGCCTGGATATCACATGACTAGCATGAGACCTAAAGCACCGCTGCTGCCCACCCTCTTAGAGTTTCTAGTAGAAATTGGTTGCAACGATAAGACACATTCAACTGAAGCAAGAATGGCACAAAATCTTCCTGTACTAACGTTTTTCGCAGTCCTGACCACTCCACCCAGCCATGCAGACCTTCCGTCCTTGTCGATCGCAGGAGAACCTATCTTTAACAGGCTCACAGTACCTGGAGCAGTCCTGGCCGTAGCGATTCGGTGAACACTGAAACTGGATAGCAAGCTCGTAGGTCGAACTGGGCGAACTAATAACGAGGGGGCGCCAACCCTTTGAGGTTGTGGGGAGCAGGACATCCCGATGAACTGTTCGGTCGACCATGGACAGGGCCCCACCCCCGGATTTTTTTTGGTAGGCCTCTATAATCAGCGTGAGGGGACCCTAAAGAGAACGGAAACAGAATAGATGCAATTGGCTTCAGAAAGAAAATGTTTTACAGAACTCGCAGAACTGGGGCACCATAAAAGCCCCGTTGCACCGGGGGATACTATGTGAAACTTTCGAGGGCATATTGCGAAAACGGCCATTCCGTTGTCACGTTATGCAACATTAGACAATCGGCAAAAAACGTATCTGCGCCTTTACTTCTTAGCTGTCTATCGATAAGTTATAGAAGTGAATAAGGCCTTCATCTAGGCTCGTTCGGTTTTTTCGGATGAAATTGCATATAATCGAAAAGTTCATTAGCAAGGTTGGTTTGGTATTTTGGCATTTGGGAGGAAGGGAGCATAAGCACTGCCGCCACATGGAAGCACCTTAAAATTATATGGCACCGAGATGCTTAAAAAACCTCTGACAGAATGTCCTCCGTCCCTGATGATCATGCAGTCTATGGAACCACGATTTATGAATGGGGACCACTTGTCATCTAAGCACGGTTAGTGGAGCACCTGAAGGACATTCCAAAAATGTACATCAGAGCGTGTACTTTCGGCGCAAGAGCATTCCCAAATTAGGGTACAGGATATGCTTATCTCATTACACTTTAGACTAAGTAATGTATTAAAAAAATAAAAGGAGGCTAAAACGCCCATTTCTATATTTATTTACTCCGATACTTCCGTCATACCCCAAACGCAAGACGGCATCTCCTGGCATTTAAGTTAACCGGTGGCTTTAAGGTGTGGTGAACGAAAATCGATCTACTTACTGTTACGCACACTACCAGCCGCAAGCAAGCATATTAGACTCACGCACAGAAGCGCATGTGCGAAACCCAGGTTCCTCTTGCAAAGAAGACAAAGACGCTATCACTGGGACGACACTTGTATTAGTCTGAGCTTTCGGACTCGTGCAGGAGGCCATCTTCGGGGTCATTGAGATTACAGCAATAATTCACGTATTTTTTAGTCCAGCTACGAGAAAATGGGGGTTGGGGGTGGGGGTGGGGGTAGCAGTCTTGATTTGTTGAGTCACACACGACAATTTTTGCTGTACTCTCA